GTCAAAGTCTGCGTGGTGATCTTGGAGCATCTTATCCCAAAGTGTAACAAGGAATCCCCCTCCCCAATCACGATATGTTCTAAGCATCATTTTAACTCCTGGCTCTTTAAATATCCAAGATTGTCTGTATGTATCTTCTCATACTAAGGTGAGAGATAATTTTGACTTATCTTGCCTTAACTATGAATTAGACAGTATATTTTTACTTCCACAAAAATGATGAAATTGCTTCATAGCTAGGACAATTGGAGCTCTATGATGCTTAGCAGACTATATAGACACCTAATTACCCATTTTCAATACTTCCAATGAGGCCTAACATCCCATAAGTTTATAAAAGAGGCAGATGATTAGGATAAGAAGTTTCTCCTGTTATAATTTCTCTCTGAGATTTCCAGAAAATTCATTATTAAAAAAGATATCTGTAGATAATGAACCACAAACTGCACCCATCAGGGCTCAAACCCTACAAGATTTCACTGTACACAGAACAGGGGCCAGAACACACATAAATGACAATGCATTTAAAAACTTCCTACATTCTTCAGGAAAGCAATGGCTATGAAACATCATTCCTAACTACCTCTGTTGAGCGACGCTGAGCTGTTTATGTCTCCAGTAATGAAGGACGACTCTGACTGCTTTCGGACGGTGTCATTCCACATTCTCCGAATCCGGCTCTGAATTGAGAGGGAAGGAGGAGACAAAGCTGTTAGTAAGCAACTTTTCACACACAGTTTAAAGTTTCTTTCAAAGCTAGAAGAGGTCGTTGCTCCCAGCATCCAGTGAGGAAGCATTTCTATCCACCTCCAACACAGTGGCAGGAGAACATCAGAAACAAAAGCAGTGACGCTATTTTCATGCCTTTGCGTATTTCCGTAGATGTTCATGCCGTAACAATTAAAACCGTGGATAACGGAAAAGGCAGTGTACAAGACCAGTGTGTAACAATGTCAAACAGCGAGACGTATACTATAGGAAGCTTGCGTTTCAAAAGTAAAGCAGTTTAAGAACTCAGACTTTCATAACAGTCTGTTAACAAAAGACCACAGAACACTATTGAAATGCTAAGGAAGTTACATATTCTATAAGTTTCTCAAGGACAATGACATTTCAGAGATTACATACCTCCTGATTTTTCTTTGGATGTGTTAAAAAGTAGATATCTCAACTCTATTCATCGCTTCACGGTGGGAAGCTTTACAGGTACCTGAAAAGTCCTCCGTTATGACTTACGTTTCTAAATTCAAATTTCTAAGAGGCAGATTCCTCACAAAGAATGTTTTAGCCTTCGGGACAAATTTTCGGTTTTATTGCGTCTTGCCATTTTATTAAATTAGAGATCAAAAAATATTGATCTTCTGAGGAAGAAACATCATACTTCCAGATGTTGTTTCAGAGATGAAAGACTCAATAAGAAACTTGGTTGCTACTAAGAGTGAACTCTCAAACTCACTAGCTGGTCCAGCTCTATTTAGATAGTAGGAATAGTTAACCTTAGACTATTTGAAAAATCATATAAGTCATATTTTTTTTCTGGACTGGAGTGCAGATACATGTATGTATGCATATACGGCAAGCTCTCATCAACAGCAGGATATGTCTTAGAACGTGGAGGTGAAAAGAGCAATTATATCATATCTACACATTATAAGATACCGCTTTGTAGAAAGAATAAAAGGCATATTACTGAAGAAGCAGAGACAATGAGACCAAGTCAATAAAAAATAAATAAAATTCAGAATTTTGTGGCTGGCATTCAGATGGTTTAGGGAGATGTAACACACAGGACACAAACACAGTGTGGACAGTCTGTTTCCCAGTCTCAGTGTTGGATTGACAGGTGTTCATTCACTTAGTATGCTTCACAATTTCATGCTCATTACATATATTTTTTTTATTTTTAAACTACAATATATTAAAAGGTGAATGCATCTAAATTACAATAAAAATAAATGATGAAAGACAAATAAAACTGTCACGAATTTATCAAAGTGAGGAGGACATTCTACTGTTCTGTAGTATAAAATCTCCCCGCATAGTAATCCTACTAATTGTCCTTTTAATTGATGTTGCCATGATTCTCATATGTTTAACCTTTTATAAGTTATTACCACCAGAAAGTAAGTAAATAGGACCTGAAAATGAGGACTTTGACACTTTGTTTGCTAGTCACACCCCTCCAAGACTACAGCTACTACCAAATACTTACTACATGTGAATAATACTCCTTTTCTCGTATTTCTAGGCCATCCCTTCAGCTTTTTTGAAATAATCAAAATAAAATCTTGGTTTGCATCCTCTCACCAATACTTTGGGATGTGCCTCTTGTTCTTTTTCAAAGCTTGCTATCGCATCCTCCCTCACAGCAGCAGGTTCTCTCAGAAAACTTGGGTAGCTAGCTAATGCCTTGCTTTCCATCCCCTAATTTGCTGGTGTTCTTGGCCTCAAGAATCACACACTAAGTCTTCATTCACCCTGGACTGTAGTTTGCTGAGACCCCTTCTCTTACTGAGAATACTGTTCAGATGTTGACATGAAAAATCAACCTCAAACAAAACAAAACAAAACAAAAGCCCAATCTTTCTTCATGACTAAATCTGTGGGGGCACTTGTGGTCTTCACGATATCACTTTACTTCTCTTTCCGACAGCTTTCAAAATCTGATTTTAGATATTTTCTCTTGGCTAATGAGTTCTCATTTATCAACATGAGAAGTAAAGCTGCAGAATGTGAGGGAAGTTATCTTTCAGCTATTTTATCCCCAGAATTTGAAAGATTTATGGCATTATGTTGGAATTTATTTCTAAATTCAAAAGTATAATACATAGATACTTTAGAGGCTCTCTGATGTAATGTTTTTTATTCATATACCACAATCTTTTCATCTTTTTCTTTTAGAAGGCTGAAAAACTTAACAAATTCATAGAAAAAGTCACAATTAATTTTGAAATGTATTTGTTTTTAAAAATTATGTGGATTAACCTTTATTTTATGGGTGTTTTGCCTGCATGTATGTCAGTGTACCACATGCACGCTGTGACTATAGATGCCAGGAGAAGGAATCAAATCCACTGAGACAAAAGTTAGAGATGGCTCTTAGATGCCATGTGGATGCATCAAACCCAGGTCCTGTGGAATAGTAGTGAGTTCTGAGTCATCTCTCTGCCTAATATTTTTGTTGTTATTGTTGTTTGTTTGTTTGTTTGTTTTAATCAGACATGGTGTAAGTAATTAGCATTTGTGTTGGATTTTGTCACAATTAATAAAATTTTATATTATATGATATATAAAAAGATAGAACTATGCTAAAAGCTACAAAGGTGAAGAAAAATGCAGCTTGAAATACATATGATACTCTACCCTATAATAGTAACACTAATAAGTGACAAGAGCCACCAATTTATTGAGAACCTCCAACTGTTCTAAGTTTTGAAGACATTAATCATGACAACCTAAGAAATTACTAATATTGCTCCCATTTTACATATGGAAAAATGGAGTCAATCACAGTCATACCTTGTTCTGACTAAAAGAAATGGTAAATACCAGCAATCATAGCTCTTAGGAAGCTGAGGGAATAGGGTATCAATTTGTGGAAAACATGATGCACAATGAGACCTATCTGTCTAATATAAGAAAAGAAGCAATAAGAAAGACTCACTTTTTATTACAGCTGGTAAATGGTAAGATTTGGGTTCAAACCATAGTGTTCTCTCCCATGAAATCTAACATTTTATTGAACTGCATTGGCGGATCTCATTCTCCAAAGGTCTTTCTAAATATCACATGAGTCTGTTGTAACCCAACTGTAATCCCGAAACATTGTATTTTCGCTAGTGGTATTTGTCAATCAAATGACTATACAGTTACAGGTAATGAGATAATAATGTGGAAGGCAGGCAAGGTCCCGTCAAGCAGACAATATGCAGGCTCGGCCATTTCAATTTAAAAGCTAATGAAACTGTTATTATAAAAAGAATTCAGAGCAACAGCTATCAGATGGAAATATTCACTATTAACAAGATGAGGACTTTCACTGAAGCATCATCCTGATTTGCAGTTATTCTTATGTTCAAATTCAAGTGTCTCATACACAGACTGAATAGTCCAAACCCACAGATCTCTGCCCACCTGAGTGAATATACCCTCCAACCCTGGTGTGCAACTCTGAAACCACAGAAATTTATGAATGGGACAGCTTAAACTCAAAGTCCTAGTGATTACACGGTATCTTTGGACTAAGTTTTATGATTTGTGGTTATTAAGATATTTAAGATAACCTGATACATTTTGGAAGTTATAGACTACTTGTTAAAATTTAGTAGGTATTATATTAGATTGATAATAGGATTATAGTCTTATTTGCAAAACAAAAGTCTGTTACGTTTAAAGATAGTGTTTATGGGCAACTTTGATTTATGAGTTTCCATGTTAACTAAGTCTGTGGGTCTATAATCAGTTGATATGGTTAAAATAACCAGATATGTTTCCCTTGCAAATGAATTTTTACAAGTATGAGGAATTGACTTTGTTAAGATTTAAAAAATAATTGTGCAAACTTAATTTAGAAAGATTTATAAGAGAAATTCCAATGATAAATGGCATTTGTTGGACTGCAGCTTGGAGGGACTGCACATCCAGCAGGTGTAAGGGCCTTGATGTGACATACAGCAGTATAAAAGAAGGTTTAAAAAAGTGAAAATCTTCATTTCAGCTGTATTTATCTACTTAATTTAAGCCTTCCTCAGAACAATCTAGACATAATCATATTTTCAACCAAACTATGTAAGATTAGTCTTCCAGTCTTGACACAAATTCACTAAAACCCACACAGTCTTACGTTGTGATCCGAGGAGACAGCAAACACTTTACCTAAAATCTTAGAAAGTGTCCTTGGTCAGGGACAATTTAGCAATGTCTCCTACTAGCCTGAGGAGACTGGCACAGATCATTTATGCCAATGACAGCTCAGTGGTGTTCTTCAGTGCACTTCAATTTTTAAACACATAACATTGTGGGAACTAGAGTATTTTACTAAATGTGTCCTATTTTGCTACTCTTCCATTTAATAGTTTTATTTCATGCATATGAGTGTTTTGGCTACATATATGTCTGTACACCACATGTGTACAGTACCTGCAGGGGCCAGAAGAGAGCATTAGATCTCCTGGGACTGTGAACCACAGGTGGATGCTCAGAATCAGACCTGAGTCCTCTGGAAAGGCAGTCATTGCTATTACCTGCTGAGCCATCTTTCCATTCTCATATATTATTTATATATTGGTTCAGTATGTAACTGAGAATTATTATATCTATTGAATATCCAAGAAATTTGAGGATCGATTTTCAAATTTGAGGACCAAATTTCAGTTCAATAGGCCATTCTTATGTCATGAATAATTATTTTAGACGATACATTTCATAGTGGAAACATTCATTTTAATCTATCCTTCGAGAAATCCATACAAGTGTACAATGCGTTTTGATTAGATCTACCCTCTACTCCCTGTTCCAACCTCTCCTCGACTTTCCACCACGTTCCCTTCCAGCTTCATATCCTTGGAGTTTTGTTTGTCTGGGTTTTGTTTTGTTTCTTTGTTTTTCTTACAACACACTGAGTCTAATTAGTGAAAAAACGGGTGCTGGGCCACCTACTGGAACATGTGCACCATACAAGAAAGGCGCTATCTTGAAGCAAATTGAATTTCCCTTCCACATTAAGCATCATCTCTGGACAGCCCTAAAGATGGAGAGGTCTCTTATAAGCCCCACCCACATTCTTATTTCCTGCCAGTCACACTAAAACCAAACCCTTGCTGTGGCAAACACTTGAGATCAGGGTGATCACAAAGAGCAGGGATTTAAAACTGACCACCGGAAAGAATTATTTCAGCTCAGGGAGCCAGTTGTCTTTATGTACCTGTGAGCCTGTGGAATACCGTCCTGGAGTTCGAGAACCAGATGTTTTCCCTGAGCCAATTGAACTCTCCGTGCTTTTCCCACTACAGCAATGCGTGCGTAGGCATTTCCCATACTCTTTCCGTACCTGGACAATAAAATGTTAACTTCTATTAGAACTTTGTGCATTTCATTTAGGAAGTAAGGAATAACTAGTAACGTTTGTTTTCAGGAACATAATTACTTCGTAGCTCCACAGAAACAAAAAAGGTTAATCATCTATTTTCCAGTGCAAAATAGTTAGATTCATGGTGCCAAACTCAAGTTTCACACTCCTGGACACTTTGTAAGTATACATACTTCCACTGCATCAGTAATACTAGGGGCATTATTTTGTAATTCAAAGAGACCATATACTTGAAAGTCCAAGAGAATTTTTAGCTTTATTAATTTTATAAATAGTGACCTATTGGTTCAACAGTATTTTCAGTACTGTTATTTAGATAGAAATCTGTGAGAAAGATGAAAAGAAAGAGGGAGAGAGAATACTGAAAAGAAGAGAAAGGGATACTATTTAGTATTTAAAGATAGAAAAAGAACTGTGCTAGACTAAGCATTTCTTTTTAGTCTATATTTCTTGTGTTTTTCTTTTAAGGTTAAAATTTGAATACTTAGACTAAAAAATTCAAAGAACTTTAATATATGTCCAAAATTTTCATTAATAATTACACAGAAGTACAGCTACTCCGGGAACTCACTTTATAGAGCAGGCTGACCTCAAACTCAGAGATCTGCCTGCCTTTGCTTCCCAAGTGATGGAATTTAAGGTGCATGCCACCACCGCCCAGATGAATAAATTCATAACATAATCATATTGGGGAAAATAAAGATAAACAGTCATAATTTGTGTTTTCAAAGTTGGGAAATTATCAAGAAGTTTAGGGTAAACCTGTGGCATGGTTAAAGTTTTTTCTTACTGCAGATTTAACTGAACAAAGCGTATGAAAATAGGTTATATCCCCAGCTATTAAAAAAAAAAAACCCAGGCTGGCCTCGAACTCGTGATCCTCCTGCCTCTGCCTCCTTCAGCAAATCCTACCGGTGTGCGGAATATGTAAGATTGGAGGGCCCTGCTGGACATAGGTGGAAGAAGAGAACCTTGACCGCATGAAGGCTGGATGCCCCAGGGGGTGGGAATTTTGAGCGTGGGGAGGTGGGAGTGGGGGGGGTAGATAGAGGTTACATCCACAGAGAAGAAGGAGGAGGGGTGAGGGGATTGGGGTTTCCTGGGTGGGTGGGGGATGGGGTAAGGGGACAACATAGGAAATGTAAATAAAACATCCAATAAAAAAAAGAAAAAAAGAAAAAAAAGAAAAAAAAAGAAAAAAGAAAAAAAGAAAAAAGAAAAAAAAGAAAAAACAAGAAAAAAAGAAAAAAAGAAAAAGAAAAGAAAAAAAAAAGAAAAAAAACCAACACAACAAAGGATACCTTGTGATACTTAACGTACACACATAAGTGTCTAGGGTGATGTGATATTGTGCCTATTACTGTTTTACAACATATTCTGCTTTCTTGGAAGGGCTCACATTGTTTCAATGTTTATGTGTGGTAAGAATGGCACAATGGTTATCTTCATTTTCAGTGTGACTGGACTTAAAATCAGGTGAACACACCCAGGGATGTGTCTTGGAGGTCTATTCCTAAGAGCCTTAAATGAGGAGGGATGAGCCATACTGAAGATAAACAGTACTGTACCACAGACTGAGGTCCAGACTGAATAAAAGGGCATACCACACCAGCATGCATCACTCTCTACTTCCTGACTGAGGAACTGGTGTGGTATATCTTATACCCCCCCCCCCATTTGCATCAGGCCTTCACCTCCAGAAGTATTACCTCATCTCAAACTGTGAGCCTAAATACGTGGTTTTCTACCTTATGGTGCTTTGACACTTATTTTGTCACAGTAAAGAGAAAAAAAATAGTACAAACAGTGGTAGAAGGAAAGGACAGAGCTTAGAAGTCGAATCTTTGCTTCCTGTGGGCCCCAGCTTCTCACCTACCCATGAATAACAAAGACAGAGACAAGGAGTGAAATCAAAAACAGAAGAAGGGACCCTGCTGGGCATGGGTGGTGGGACCCTAGCAAAGCTTATCAAGATAGTTATGAGAAATCTCTAAAAAGATAGTTTAGAATTAATTATTCTGTTGAAAGATAAGGTTGAGAAAGATAAGAGAAGGCAGCAGTCTGCTCTAACTGTATGTGACAAATGAAAAAATATTTTATTAGAATGGTTATTAAATAATCAATATCTGCTGGGCATTGATTATTCTAATAATAATGTGGCAATTATTTGATTATGACTTGAAAAGCCTTAAAAGTAATTCTTCAACAAAGAAAGATACATGCTATAGAATAGTTTGGATATCTGTCCTAAATTTTGGAAGCATATTTAAAAACATTGATCTCCTCAAATCTCACTTTCTTGGTCCGGTGCACCCAGCCAATGATTGTTTTTCATTAATCTATAGTAATTTTTTTATTTGAACAAATATTGTAGTAGAAAGTAAGAGAGAGAAGAAAAATTTGGAGAAGTACTCTTCGTTTAGTTACCAAAGAAGCACTGCCAGACAAACCATAGGAGTTCATTGTGAACTATTTTCATTTTATAATAAAGACTGAATATTATGCACTGATTTTTATAACCAGCGAACCTAGAGATACAGTGATGCCAAGCTCCTTGACAGCTGCACTGTCACAGGATTCAATATGCCTATGCTTCTTTGCTCTGATATAATTTAAAATGTTCAGCACGTGTCTTAATAAAAAAAATTAACATGGACGATGTCCATGAAATCTCCAATCTGCTTCAAGTCACATGTCATCTGAGAACTCTAGTTTATTTCAGTGTGATGCAATCTAGAATATAGATAACAGAAAAGAGAATCGATCTTACATATAGAATAATTTTTCCATACTCTCAAATAAGAATAAATAATCCTGAAAGCTCTGAATAGGTGAATTCAAAGGTAACACTGACCAATTTTAATGTAGCCAGTGTAAATATTAAAAAAAAGAAAGTTCTAATGTAGATCATACAATCTGCATTAGAAAATAAATTTGAACTCAACAAGTCTAATTGCTATTTAAGAGTTCAATCAACAGGTTACTTTATAAATTTCAAATCCCCAAACTGGATATTATCCATTTATTTTTAACACATAAGCAATTGCAAGATCAAATTTGTATTGATAAAGTTTACTCTGAAAAGTTTTTAAGGAATTTTAAATACATTTCCACAAAATCAAAGCCAAATACTTGGCTAGTTTTTAAAGAAAATCTCTCTACTTGATGATGCTGAGACATATTCTTGACACTAAATAAAATTGCCACTATTTCTTTAAACTGAAAGAACAATGATTATAATTTATTATAAACAACAAGATATGTCTCCAATCATGGATTTGTAATTATATCCATTAAGTACCCTATAGTCAAGACTTAAGTATGAATTTGTCTCTTGGAAAGTTCATCTGTTGGAAACTATATCCTGAAATTAACATATTAATGTTATTGGAGGTAGGGTTTCTGGGAGCTAATTAAGATAAAATGAGGTCCTGGGGTGGCAATCCTTGCTCTCTGGGAAGAGAAAGGCATAGCTGCTAGCTGCTGCTTCTAGCTTGCCATAGGATGCGTTCTACCACATTATAAAGGAAGAAGACGACCACGCAAGTACAACACCTCAATTTGAACTTCTCTGTCTTTAGAAGGAAGCAATAGAGAAAACTTAATCCTTTATAATTATCTAGTCTGGGTATTCAGTTACAGCAACAGAACACAGACTAAGTCAATGCTTCTAAACTTTTGAGTCAAGACTTACTTCTATGTATATACTTTAAATTTTAAGCATACACATTAAAAATATAATAATTGCAATCAGTTTATTGGAAAATGAAAGGGAGCAAAGTGAATTTATTCCAGGAGTCCTAATTTCCTGAGTTCTGTCTAAAGCAAAGCACACTAACTTGATACATATAATTTAAAATCTGATTTGTTAGATATGATAAATATAATTAGAACACTATTCTTGGCTATGGGTTCTCAGTACATGAATACTAAAAACATTTTTTTTTATTTATTTCAATGCTATAAAGATTTGCTAATGAAATACAATCAAATCAGTTTATTTATAAAGTTTAAAAGTTAGCTTTTCTGCTCAGTAGGTAGCTTCTATATTAACATCGATACTTAAAATTTCTATGTCTCCAAATTCTTCTCATGTATGAAGTAAAGATGACAGGTAAGTATGAACTGCAACTTGCCATCCATCAAGATCGTGTTACTATTTACCATGGTCCCTGATTCCTAAGGACATTTTCTACCTTTCTCCTTAGTCTCCTGATTTGATGACCATCTTTCTGTTTCTCTTAGAATCAGTTATGGTTTTCTTCTTTCCAAATTTACATATCTTTCAGAGCATTTAGCTTCACCAGCTTCCTTCACGTCCATTAAAATGCTAATGACCATGCATTCAAGCTTTCTCCTGTCTTTAATTTAACTGTGGTCTTGATTCTCATTCTATTCCTCTGACTCTTCTTTCTATCTCTTTCCTTACCATTTGCCTGTCTCTTCCTCTTTAAGCCCATCAAGTGCAGCTAATTATTATCTGGTGGCCATACCCAGTTGCTCTGCTTCTATACATGCTATGAGTTAAACTCTCTTTCCCAGTGCCCCTAGAATTTTAATTGATACCATCTGTGGAGTCCTGTCTTATGGAAAGTGAGTAGAAGTGATACAAGCCACATCCAGATGGTTTCTACACGATTCTATTTCCTTCCAAGATTATCTACTGGATCTCATCATCCATGATGATAACAAAAGTATGTGTTGAAGACTTGCTAAGTCTTTTCTAGCTGTGTGTTTTCATGGCATTTCATCAAACGTGTCAGCTAGTGAAAATAAAATAGCGAGTTGAGCTACTGAAATTCTGAGAATATCCTCATTTGATAGACTTCATTCATTCAACTCTAGACTGTCTTTGGAAGTGAATGTGACCCCATCTGCATAAAATTCATCCCTTCTAATAGGTAAGTAACTGATCTTTACTCCTGCATCCCATATTTGTGACCACAGGAAAACACTGTAGACGTCTATTACTAGCTAAAAGTGAAACACAATAAAATTGTTTTATTCTTGTCCTTCTTAAAAAATGGACATTAATGTCTGTTTTAGATGGCACTTTGATTTTTATTCTTGATTAAAGAATTGATTAAAGAATTCTTAGAGATAGAGAATATTAGTCCTCATTTCTGCTGTTTTCCAAAATATAATTACAGTCTTACTGTTACTTTCTGAGATCAAAAATTATTTTTCCCTTCATTTTTAGAGCCACCTTTTAAACTACTTCATAATTATTTTTATCACCTCCATGTGACCTATGAGGAAACTGGGGAAGTGAAGAGGTTAGTTGACTTACTAAAAATCAGAGAAGCTTTTACACTGAGGTCCTAAAAACGAAACATGGGAAATTGGCTAAGGTTCCATATTAACAAAAACCTATAGAGGTACTTTTTGGATAAAGTTGAAAAGTATTAGAATGGAAAAGTCAATCTTATGACTTAAAAAACATGAAACAAAATATTTAATTAGTATATGAAACAAAATATATAATTACTAAAATAGCTTTTAAAAAAATTCAGGGTTAATTCTGAAAAATATGTATCAGGAAATTATCAGTTTCATAACAAGATTTTCAAACACACAGGTGGAGATTTTTATATCTTATTTGCTTTGGACTTGGAGACTCTTATGGAAAAACGTGTCCTTTAACCTTTGGGGACTTTAATGCTAGATCCTGGTGGTTAATTCTCGAACTGAATTATGGAAACAAAAATAGAGATACAACAAGTGGCTTTTTAATGAATTATTTTATTTGCTTATCAATATATGAAATCAGGAAATTAGCCAATTCCATGATTTACTTTGAGAAATTACTTTCTAAAACACAACGTCCATTTTTCTCCCTGTAGATATACACATAAGTCGGCAAGAAGTTACTTTTTGAGCCCTGTGGAGATAATTAAAATGTGTTTTCGGTAATTTGAAAACTGCCTTCTCACCTCTTATATGTTTATATTGTGTATAGGTTATTAGTAGTAGTAAAAGTAAGTTAAAGAAATACGTTTGGTTTTTGAGAAAGTAGAGTAATATATTTCATTTTTGAAAAAAACTCATATGAATGCTACACGTGAACATGGTAGGCATCTTTTATTATCATGAGGTATAAGAGGCTGTAGGATCTGGAAAACCTGTAGCTTACCTTCTTCTGTAGGACACAGTGGAAAATGAATATAAACATTCCCTGTAGAGAATTGAAAATGGTGAAGAGATAGGCCATGATGACTGTGCTTTCATTAATATACATGAGTCCAAAGGCCCAGGTCAATCCTAACAGGCAGAGCAGGGCTATTGCACCTATAACCCACGACCTGTGGAGAGAAGAGAAAATTGAGCGTTAGCAAGCAACTAGTCCAGAATTAACTAAACCGTGTCCTATCAATGCTACTGACACTGAAGAAAAAAAAAAGCTATGGTAGGTTTTACTGACAGAAATGTGAGACAAGGGGTGTAAGAGCTTGAAGATTTTGATGGGGACTACAAGTTCAAACTTGAGGGGCAATACGTGGATGAAAATGTTATGAACACAGAAATTCATTTAAGCAAAAGCAGATTTGTGCCATAAATTATTCATGTGTTTGCAATACATATGCAAATGGTATGGATATGTAATTACAGTGAATGGGAAAGGAGAAAAGTCTTTAAAGATTCGTTAGTCTTCACCACACTACTTGGTACATCTGTTTGAATGCAATCAATCTGTCAGTGCTTCAGCTAATACATTTGTATACCACTTTTTCCAAAGTTACTTTCTTTTCTAATAAAATGATTATATTTGTTGGGGGAATAAAAACAACTCTTGAGTAGAAGGAACCAATACTGGAAGCCTTTTTGTTTAGTTTTGATTTTTTTCTGTATAGCCCTAACTATCCTGAACTTGATCTGCAGACCAGGCTGGACTTGAAATCTGAGATCTGCCCACTCTGCACGCAAAAGCTCAGATTTAATGCTTGGGCTATCCTCATCCAGCTGAAGCACATATTTAAAGGTGATTACCGACATGTGGAACAAGCAATCACAGGATACAGTAGGGTTAGAAGACAAAGTTCCACTCCAGTGGTAACAACCTTTTAATCTTTGGGTACTATCTTGTAGATCATACTGGCCTAGGTTTTCAAAATTGGGCCTTTAGTATCTTAATAGGCTTAGGATGTCTTCATCTCTTAGAAGTGTCTACAAACTCAGGGAAGAGGATGAAGCTGGAAATGGGGATGGAGTGGTATGAATGGAGTAACAGAGCAGGGGAGGTGAGCAGCCACCATTACTCCATTTGTTTCATTTCCTCCAAGATGCCATGTTTAACAGTAATATATTGGTGACAGAAGCTCATATATTTAAAGTCATGTTACACATCTACTAGAAACATAAGATGAATTAATTTCATAGACGGGCCTCTAGGAACCGGACATGGACTCCTTCTTAACTTGCAAGTAGAATGGAGAATAGGACTGAAAGCATCCAAGACCTCTACACATTCATAGTCCCACCCCTTACTGTCCCAGGATCGTTTCCTTGAACAGAGAAAGTTTACATTTCTTTTCAGTACTCTATATAATTTTTCATCTTTGTTGTCCAAGGAGGAAATACCTGGGGAGACTGATTCTTAGCAAAGCAACGAGGGGAAAATACATGGCACCATAATCTGAATTTAATTATTTTGGTTTTTTAAAGATTTTAAGACATGGTCCCAGAGGCTTATTAAATGGTTTATAAATTTTTCTTCCACACAATCAGTCATTGTATTTCAGATTTAAATGTCCTCTAAGTGAATCAGGTTTCCTGTAAAATATCAACATTGTTGGATGAAGATTTGCTCTTGCATTTGGCACATTTGCTTATATGAATTAGAAAACACCTTTAATGTTAATACTTATTTCACGACTGAATTGCAAAATATGGAAACATACAAACAATAGCTCTCGGGTTCTTATAGATATCAGAAAAGAAGGAAAAATAAATGGAAAGGATCATCAGTAACTACAGAGAAAGTATCTACTTAGATTTAGAGACCAAACAATGTCACAAAATACTGAAGTCAGCCATTATCCAGTAGAAAACACACAATGGATCGAAGGGTTAAATGGTCTAGAACTGCAGTGAGCTCTGATTTCCAAAGAAGAATAAGCAAAAGCATGAAGCGGTAAGTGTGATGGAGTCAGGGAATGGAAACAAAGGACTCTTCACCAGAAGAACAAACTGAAAGTCTACAGCAACGTGGCCCATGGGTGGCCAGACTTAGTTGATTCTTGCAGGACATATCCAGTTTAAAATTATAAACAAATGTCCAATTGTTACCATTATCTCTCCACTTGTTAGACTGGTACAGACTTGTCACTTTGTTTCAAAAGTTTAATTGTATGCATAAGCAATGAGAATATTCATCATGATACAGGTGTCAAATTTTCAACGGGAAAGGCTTACCTATATGAAATCGAATGTTTAAAAGTCCCTTTCCCCCTTTTAAAGATACAGTGAATACAGGAAATCATTAATCCTAATTGTGACTGGGTGTTTCATATCCATAGAATTGTTATAAAGGTACACTACTAAGTCACACAATATTTTAATAGGAATGACAGAGGCATAAACAAGAGAAATTTGGATATACGCAGCATGGAAGAACATCACTATCAGAGGAGATCTCCATGAAAGACGAGTCTGTACCACACAGAAGTGGTGTTACTGAGGTACTATGGTCAAAAGACAGATATCCCATCAACAGAGGTGAGGTGGGATTCTTTTATCCTTTCTGGCTATACGCTTGCAGTATTCTGCATGTACGTGGTATGCCAGTGTCTCCTGCAGTTTGCTCTTCTGCCTCAGTGTGAGTGACAGAAGCTCTAGTGGTTTCTCAGTACTGATCTGACAGCTGGTTCATGGGACCACACTGATAAATGCAATTTATCAGCCATTCAGGTCATTCTTACTTGATGAAGGGTCTGTTATCCTCATAGCTAAAGAATGCATAGACATAAAGACAAGAACACCAACATTAGCATTTTATGATAAAGAACTGGCTGTGGAAAAAAATATATTCTCCTGTTTCCTGACCAAAGCCCTTTATTTCCCACCTCCTTTAAAGATATCATAACCTTCCCTTTATACCCAGAAGGTAAATCCTAAAATGACCATGAGAACTTAAATACCAGGGAATAAAATCAATTTTACAATACTGCAATATCCCATCTGAGACTCAGCAATTCCATTTTTTCATCATGTGCTCATATTACTTGTGACTTGACAGAGACATTTATTTCTTAGAGATCACATTTCTCTAGAGAATGAGAAATTTTATGAGCAATCTGAAAATAAGGCTTGGGGGCATGCTTAAAATGATAGATGTTGTGTCACGTAAAGGTATCTCTTCTTCTGTGATATTAGTGGGTAAGATGACTTAATTATGGACAATATGCCTCTAAGTAATTCTAACACAGAGGTGATGATTAACCTGAGTTAAATCTGGCCACCACAGCTCCTTTTCCCCCCCTTCTTCTTGCCAAAAGCAATATATTTTCCTGCATTATGAATACACAAGTGATGTTCTCAGAAAGGCCCATCTGTGATGAGTTTTGAATAAAGAGAATCACTCATAAAATCCCACTCTCCAGAATGATGAGATGGTAAATATTGGACTGAAATCCTCGTATGTGAAGCCTGCTTGCCTTCGGTTTACATACATCCCAGCTCAATCGTTTACTGGATATTTGATGTCAGGCAGAAGCCAATTAACTTGTGGTGTGTCATTTTATGCATCTGTAAAGTGGTCATAATTAGAATCTAAGTATGCTCTGCATTATTCTTGTAAAAAAATAAAATTATTTTTGATCTGAGCAATAGAGTATTTTTATCATTGCTAGATGGTCTAAAGCTAAACTCAAACAAACTAAAAATTTCTTACCCAAAAGAGAAAATACTCAGTACATAAATATTGAATAGTTAAATGCCTGAGAAGATGTTCAGGAAGTAATATGATGCAAAGGAAGAGTCGTAGCTGAAATAAGTCAGTAGATGGAGCAGGGAGTGAATGGATTTGTGCTCTCCATGTAGTGAGTGGACATTTCAATTAATCAAAGCAGAATAAGGATTAAAATTCCATTTCTAAGTCACATCAGTCATAATGCAAATGACCCAAAAACCTCACATAGGTGGCAATATGACACTAGATGAAACAGTTCTAGAATATTCCATCATCACAGAAAAGTTCTATTGGATAATGCTGAACGAGGACAGGTTAAGAACATTTTAGGCCAATCAACATAATTGCAAAGGATGTTTAAATTAGGGCTTGAAAATGTGATGATAAAAGAACGTCTAATAGTATTTTATGTTTGCTATAATGCACCCAGATAGAAAAAAATCACGTACCTATTATATAAGCTATAAAAATACAAGGGTAATATTTACTGTTATATCAATCCCAATTGCATCAGTGTAATTTCATCTATGATGCCACCTTCAGGATTAGAAATACATTCTACTCTAATTAACCCAGAATAATATCAAGCAGATATATGCCACTGCTGACATACAGAACTCCAAGCAAAAACATTTTACAAAACTGAATCAAGGTTTACCGATAGTTCAAAAATTGAAATAGCCTGGCTGCAGTATGCCGACTGACAATTTAACTTCAGTATGAAAGGTCACAAGGGAAATCAAAGTGGGGTTTCTACGGCAATGTGATGAACATCAGCTGCCCCACCAAGCAGAGTCTGCTAAAACCAGCTTCACTCAGTCACTGCAGACGTGTCCTGAGTGGTGTTCACTGGGATGTGAACAGAAGCAAGTGTGACATTTCTAGGTCTTACCAATTAAGGGATTGGACTGGCGCTCACTCTATCATTTGTTCTCCCCTTTGACTTGGAGAAAGAGACAACAGAGCCTCAGACGCTGAATGAGACACTGCTTAGCAGTAATGTTGAGCAGATGGATGAGACTTAGGGCACCTGCCCCTAGACTGTCCCCAACAACAGTCTACACCACTGGGTTTTGCTATACTTTTACAGTGGCTTACCAACAATTCATATTTTTATCTTATGTAATTCTAAGCTCACATTAAACATAAAAATTTATAATAAAACAAAATATTTGTGAGTTTAATTATACCGGGGCATAATTAACATACAATGATTTTTAAATCTACAGATCACTGTACACTGCCTCTTTCAATAAGTTCCAGCATTTTTTTGCCAGATGTTAAATTAGTGTAGAGAATTTAAGATTATTATCTCTCTCCAAATCAAAAAAAAACAAAAACAAATACCCATGTTGCCATCACTTACCACAGCAAAGCTGTATAGACTTTCAGTTT